TTCCTCAGTAGAACCTTTTGCCTAAAGTCACGACAAGTAATATTTAGTTTATTCAAATACATACACTTTTCCTATTTGCTTTAAAGAAGAAAACATTTTATTTACAAAAGAAAGCAAAATAGCTCTAGAATAAAAGCATATAAATATGTAGAAGCTCCTGAAAGAATCACAAAACTTTTTGAAGGCAAAATTTTATCGGAGATTTTAATTCTACCAGAATTGTTACAGGTTGGCCTCATTGTTCTATTCAGAATAGCAAAATTAATAAGGATAACTTCAGAGACAAATTTTCAGTATTCAGTAGAAATTTAACTGGACTGATGAGTTCCAATCAGTCTTTTAAGATGAGAAATGTTTGTACAACTAGGAAGATAGTGAAGTGAATTAATCGTTCTCAAAATCCCTTGAAACAGGTTAAGTCCTCAAGTACTCATATGTCCCAAATTGTTTTGCAGTTTGTCCAAAATGCTGTCTCTTCAAAGAGAAATTTTGTATTGTACAGTGAAAAGTCATCAGTAAAATGCATAAGCAGCAAAGGGAGCAGAGGTCCAATAAGACCATCTTGGTCCTTTCTTGCCCCTACCCTCCAAAGAAATGCATTGGAGTTACTGGGATGTAGAATCTGAGAACTTGCTCCCGTTTCCTTTGCTTCAAGTCCTGTGCTGTTTCCTGCACTGGGACACAGCAAAACTGTAAAAGGGATTGTTGTCTTCACTATTCTGGAGTTATACATGGCACCATAGGAGGAACATCTGTGAAATGGGAGATGTGAGTTCAAAAGTTCATCTTATGGAATGAAGATGAGTTTCACAGCCATAAAGCAATGCTGGTGGTTAACTGAACTTCATCAGGAAACCCTGTAAAAGTGAAGGAAGCTGGAGTTTAAAATTTGCCCCCCTTTTCAGCACTTCAAATTGACTGGATTAGACTTCTCACATGTGTGTGCTGGATAATAGGAGTCTTATTTGGTCATTTGCATTTTTATTCTTGTTTAACATGTTAGAAACTTTAATGTTTAAAACAAGCTTGCAAACCTTAGTCTTTGAATTGGAGATTCTACGTAGTAATAGAAATGGTCTAATTTATAACTTTATAACTTCTATATTCCAGTATACTAAGACTTAAACTAATTAGTTCTAAGTAGAATAATTGTCAGCTACAGCACAAAATAATGCTGTATATAATGAGGTGTATTGAATAAATAAATATGATGAAGTGTATAGACAGCAAGATCTTATTTGTAAAACATTTAAGCATTTTTTAAGATGTGTTTGGCATATAGAGGATTCATTTTACCAGAAAGGATCTCTGCAGAATAGGAAATTAGCAAGATACCTTATTAAAGGCTGAAAGGAAATGAAATGATTTCAGATATGTTTCTTTCACTGTTTCATTTATTCTATGGTTGCATGAGTTACAATGTTTGTGATTTTACTGATAGCTGAGAGCAGATAGGTATAATTCAGTATTCACAGAAGCATATTTTAAGTGAGGCATAAAACTTACCAGAAGTTCTTTATCATTTTAAAGAAGATTCCATGTATCTTTGATTTTTTTTATGAAATATTCACAATAGTATTATCCATTGACCAGCAAGACAATCAAATCTCAATTATTTACGTTACGATTGTTCTCACCCTCCGAATTTCTGCAGCACATTTTTCTGATTGCTCATTTCAATATGAGAGAACCCACCAGACAACTCTGTGTTATAAAAATATTGTAAATTTGCATTGCAAAGAACAAATACAAGAGAAAAACAGTCAGTGTCCTATTCAAAGTCCATTTAAATTAGTGGATAGTAAAACTGGGCAAAAATAAGGGTTTTGTGAAATAGAAAAAGGAACAGTTCACTAATTCCCTTGTTAGATGGCTAAACAATTGAGGAAATACAGAATGTATTACTCTGGTGTTTGGAAAACAATTGTGGTGGTAATAATTGAAGAGTTTTGTTGATGTAATTTTCATGCAAGTTTTGTCTGGCAGAAGATTTTCTTTAGATTTTGTCCCCTTGTTTCTAATATTAGTGTGTTGATTGTGCTCAAACATACCAACTGAGATCACATAATTGTGTTAGGAGGTATATAAATATACATTAAGAGACAGATATTAGTCAAAAAAAGCAAATCTGAAGTCTAAAAAATGGAAACAGAGGCACAAAAAAGTATCTTTCTGAGAGTCATACAGAAGGCTAATGGAAGGTAAAGTTCTACCAGCCAAATCTACTGCTTTCTAGACCACTGTTCTTGTGAGACACTACCTCTCTGAGTTTATAAAATCATTTGAGCTACACAGCTGATAAACATACACAGACAATGTTAAAAAGATGCTAAGAATTATTTAAGGACAGATACAGCTTTTTTGCTGGATCTTCACAAAGGTGAGCACAGTACTGTTCCATGTAAAGTTTTCCCAACAGAAATGGTATTTGCACACTGTGGATCTTGGCAGCACAGGAAAAGCCAGTTATTTGACTGCATTATCTTTTAATTTTATTCCTAGCTCCTCTGCTATGTTAACTTTTCAGTTTGGGTCATTACGCTATTTAAGCTAACATGGTGATGCTATTGCCACTTTAACTCCTGTGTAAATAGAGGTATATGTAAGATTATAGAATTGGAGAATGGTTAGGGTTGAAAGGTCCATAAAGATAATTTCATTCCAACACCCCTGCCACAAGCAGGGACACCTTCTACTAGACCAGGTTACTCAAATTCCCATCCAGTCTGGCCTTGAACACTTCCAGGAATGGGGCAGCCACAACTCTGAGCAACTTCTTCTAGGGCCTCACAACAATCACAGTATAGAATTTTTTCATAATGTGTAACCTAAATCTGCACTCTTTCAGTTTAAAGCCATTATCCCTTCTTTTATCACTACTTCTTATAAAAATTTCCTCTCCAGCCCACTTGTAGTCCCCCTTTAGGTACTGGAAGGCTGCTATAAGGTCTTCCTGATGCCTTCTCCCCAGGCTGAACAAGCCCAACTCTTCCAGTCTGTCTTCATAGGAGAGGTGCTCCAGCCCTCTGATCATCTTTGTGGTCTCCTCTGGACTTGCTCAAGCAGGTCCACATCCTTCTTATGTCGATGTATTTAAACCTGCTAATTCTCAGATAGTATCAGCAGTCTACTTTATACCAACATGGAGCTCAGTGTGGATAACATTTATGTTTTGTAGGTGTTTTCTCTTTAAATTATTATGGTACCAATCATATTATATGACTGCTCATAGTATTCATCTAAACTGCACATAGACATGACTTCAACATGCACAATCTGCACAGCAATCTAGAAATATTCAGTGTTGAGTCTGTTATATGCTAAAGCTCAGAGGCTTTTGGTAAAGGCAGTTTTCCTGTTTTTCCATGATGAAATTTGTAATGTATACAGTATCTTGTGTTTCCAGAATGTATTTGCAGTTTGTAAACTTATGCAAAAATGTACTCGCTCTTGTTTTCTACAGTATTTTGTCTGAATGTTGTGATATGAAGTACACTTTCATATTAAGTTATTAAACAAGTGAAAGTTATTTGACTGGTAGCTTCACCGCATGTAGTTCGTTTAATAAAGCAGACTGCTTGCTAGGACTCAGGAGAACTGCCCACACATCTCCATTGTACGTTCTAAACTGAAAGATAGGATTTGGATCCTGTGTAAGAGAGATGGTCAAAGTGCGGATGGTTGTGGCTGTGGCCATTTTGTTCTGGAATTATGCAGAGTTAAGTAACAATGGCTTCTTTTTTTTGTCAGTCTAGCTTACTAGATTGTAATAATTGATTTTAAATATGAAAATTGTGGTAGTTAGTGTCAAGCTTTAGGTATCCAGAAGAGAGGTCATTATTCCCTTTCATCCTGATAAATTAACTGAGGTTTAACTGTGAGCAGTATTTAACTGGATCCTCTTCTTGCCTGAGCTGTTACTGTGATGTAATCAAAAGTATGAATAGGTTAAAAAATAGTAACATTATTCTTAGCTGAAAGACATGGCCTATATTTGACTGCTATCTAAATGACCTCCTCCTTACAAAACAAGTTTTCACTATTTAGAGGTATGCATATTTTTGATATTTCTGTTGTCTCATGCATCTAAAGAGAAAGTAGCAGTAACATATGACAACTTCCATCTCATATATGGAGGGACCTGCTGGCAGGTGGAATTTGCAAATGTTTTAAGAAAATTATGTTCATTTCAGAAGTGTGAGGCTAGATGAACACAAAAACGATTTTTTTTGTTTCTTTCCTTTGCCAAATCTTTCCCAGGAATAATGGGGATATTTCTATTTGAGATACGCCAGGATGCATTTAGATTTGTGACATCAAAGGAAAGCAGCAAGCAAATTCGTGTTCCTATAATTAAGGAAGCTTGTTTTCATACTTCTTAATTCTAGGAACATAAGGCACTGTCTTCTCTCCTTTCTTTCTTGCACTGAATTAATAGGGAAAATTGTTCTGATAGAAACATATTGATTCCAGTAAAGAACTGTATGTTACCTGCCCTGCACTTTTCACAATGGTCAGTTATATTTAGCTGGTGAGAAATGTGCTCTGGCTGATACCAAACAAAAGAGGATTGTCTTTCATTTTTAGAATTTGTTCTCTACATGGCCTTGAATGTTCATTTATTTTACATAAGATAATGATTCATTCTCTTGCTTTGCAGTTTCTAGATGGCTAGATATTTAAAAAGCCAATACAGAATTTCTAAGCAGAAATCCACATATATGATTACAGTAAAGCTCCACTATTACAGCATTGTATTAAGAGACCTATTGGTATATTTTACATTTATAAAAATAGGAAGTTTGATTTTGACTTATGAACAGTATTTTAAAAAGCGCTACCTTGGTTTTTATTGATAATAATTTCTAGAAATTATAAATCTTCTGTTTCTAGATACACCCTAACTGAAAAATGAAAAGTGAATTATTGCTGGAAAAATCATCTAGAGTCAGGGTTGTTTGTATGCTTTGAAACATAATTCTCTTTGTTCTTTATTTAAGGGTTAAAGTTAAGTGATCCAACCATGACCGGCAAAACACAGACCAGCAATGTCACCAATAAGAATGACCCAAAGTCCATCAACTCCAGAGTCTTCATTGGCAATCTGAACACAGCCATTGTCAAAAAAGGCGACATTGAAGCAATCTTTGCAAAGTATGGAAAAATAGTTGGTTGCTCAGTGCACAAAGGTTATGCGTTCGTACAGTACATGAGCGAGAGGCATGCAAGGGCTGCAGTGGCAGGAGAAAATGCCAGGATCATCGCAGGGCAGCCACTAGGTAAGAGTTTATCCATATTGTTGAAATATTGTTTTTTCTTTCCTTTCTATTTGAAAAAAGATCTGTTGCTGGTGCCTTTGATACTAGTAAGTTTGTTTTGCCATTGTTCAATCTAAGCATATTTCCAGGGTCTTGGATCTGGCACAATTTTCAAAGTATTAGAAGTTACATAGATATTGCAAAATGTTTAGTGCTAGAAACTTCTGATATATTAAATAGATCACTTCCGACTGCTTTATGCTTCTCTGTGTAATCCCATTGCAGTGAACATGATTACTCATGTGAAGAAAATATAAGCATTTTCTCTTAAACTCTAAAAAGTTAATTTATTGTAATATAACAAGACTTGTCTAATAGATGTCGTTATCTTGCATTTAATGAATCTAAAATAATATACAGCCCAGGGGTGTGTCAGATGCTATGCAGAAGCAAAAGAATGAGTTTTGTTAGTCCTTGAAATTGTACCAGTCAAATTGTAACACTGTTATTCATCTAAAGAATTTTATTATTATAAACTTAGGTTGAACTTATTCCCAAATAATATTGCGGACACCATTCATCTGAACTTCAAATTAAAAAAAAAAAAAAAGCAAAACAAAAAAAAGCATAACTTTTTTTTTCTAGGGCTTTGTCATGAAAGCTTATATAAGATATGGTTGTTACATATTGCAGGTGTCACCCCTGAAACCTATTTGCAGTTATATATGGAGGCTGACAATGATAAAATCATCTGGAGTACAGTCCTAACCCTATCTGTCATAATGATGGACAGTACGGCAAGATGTTTGGTAGGAGCAAGAGATCTTTCACTAGACCTCTGAACTATACTGCTGAGATCCAAACCCGTGTGTGTAATGGCTGTGTCAGGAAAAGGTGAAGGGTAGCTAGTACTTTGGCTGTAACAAGTCATAAAGAATGGATATGGCTTATTCATTTTCAATTTTTCAGGCTGTGTAAATCTATTTTTCTGTTTATTTGCAGAAATTGAAGTATTTGTGTTAGATGGGTTGTTCTGTCACAGTTGTTCAACAGTAATTTTAAGTTTTATAACCCCTGTATTTTGGGTTCAGAAAAAAAACAGATTAAAGAATTTCATTTTAGGGGAGATTACAACTTTTTTAGGAAAAGTTACATATATAAGTGAAATAAAAGAACTCAAGTGATAAAGACAAGGCAGCAAAGTCAGTCTGTGGAATGGCATTATTAGAAGATATTTCCTGGAGCGGTGGTCTCTGAGCAATAGGCCATGTAATGCCATCAGTGCATTAGTTACAGCTCCTTGCACACTGCTCTGACCAGATTTTTTAAACTGTGTTTTCCTAAGGCAATAGATCTGTTATTATTATGACTACTGTTGCTAGTTTCTTCTAATATTTCTTACAGTGTCTATAACATGCCAAGTGCTTTGCACATGGAGATGCCCTTGCTCTATTCAGAGTATGTTTGTGCTCTATATAAACAGTAAGTGAAATTGTTGTAAAAGAAATTAAGGAACTAACAAATACTTGAATTGTTTATTTATTTATTTTAAATAATAACAGGAAGTTCACTACTAAGTTTCAACTGTATAATCTTAAAATGCATTGATTATTCCGCATAGTCTTGTGATGGAATATTTCATAGCTCAATTGTTGATGTATCAGGGAATATAAAGAATAAGAAAGGTGAAATTGGTTTTAGCTGTTCCAAACTTCATTTACTCTTTCTGCATATGAAATACAGTTGTTATCATTATTGTTTCACAAATATAAAAAAAAAAAAATTGTAAAAGTGGTACTTCTCATTAGATAAACTTTCTATGTATTCTTTTTATTAGCAGTAGACATTAACAGTTGCCTCAAGATAATGAGCTGATAGATAAAATTTCCTTGACATTACAACCCAGAAGAATAACTTATGCGAAAATTGTGCATTTGAATGGAAAGAAGTAATGGGTAGACTCATTACTGTGAAACTATTCAATGAAAAATGGCTTTGTTTTCTGTTCTGAGAGCCTTGTATTCTGAAATAAACAGAACACACAGTTTATATAAATAGTCAAGGTACTGAAAGTGGGCAAGAAAAGTCTTCTACATACGTGAAAATAAACTTGGTTAACATAGCTGAATTTTCTTTTAAATTGAATTAGAATATATTAATGATATAGTGGGAGCTGAGTGGTATTCAGTTATGGAAAGCTGTTTGAACAAAGGAATGTTTGAAAAAGATTGTCCCATAGGAGATGTCTGATACTACCATTAACTCTAGTACTCAGTACCTCACAAAAGAAGAAATCATTTAAGACTGCATTATTAATCTACATTAGGATTTTTGTGGGTTTGGTAAACCGATCATTTATGCTGGCTCCTATCTTCTATGGAGTTCTGCCATTCAAAATTATGATATCCTCTTCCTCAGTTTTACCAATGAGTCAGAAACTGTTCACATGTATGTAACTGAAATTAAAAATTGAACCTGTAAATTTCTATAGCTATATACAGTGTTGCACAATTCACTGAAGGTACTGCCTTAACGTCCTCAGACAACTCTCAACCTCCTACAAATAGTTTTGGTGGCCAATGATATGTAAAGGCAATGCTGTGGGTATTATAACTACAGGGAAGTGGCTTTCCTGAGTTTTCTGTTTATTTCCAAGTTTTCTGTTCCATGAAGTGCAACATGCTCTGAAAAGTTGTGAAAGTTGTGAGGAAGAGATCATTAAGAAATACAAAAAAAAAAAAAAGCATAAAAAATTTACTGGTATCGTTTCGAAGTTCAGTGTAGTTTCATGAAGTATTATTTTTTATGGGAATAGTATGAAGAATTCCTGACAAAAGGGCAAGAACAGATCAGTACTGGGCACAGGAGTCTCCTTCACAATGATTGTTGTAAATTGTGAATTGCATCATGCCAAAGCCAAGAAAATGTTCAAGTTCGCCTAAGACAAAGCTGCAAGTTATGTTCCCAAGTTGTGGAACACTTCTACATAATCTCTTCTCCTGTATCACTTCAAAAGTTTTTCATCCATTTTAATACATCTACAAATCAGGGAACATTTGCCTATATTTGACTCTTTGCCACATAGGGCAAAGAGCCAGGGTGAATAGAAATCATTCTAAGGAATTATCAAGTCTACCTACAACCTTTATGAAGGGTGACTTCACCCCTCTGTGGTGAAAGGAGGACTAGAAACCTGCTTGCTTCAAAGTAAATTGTGCAAGTCCCTCATTGCAGCAACGGGCTGAGGAACAAGCTTCAGCAAGAAAGAAACTTTTAGGTAGTGATGGACAATACAGTACTTCAACTGATGTTTTCTCCTGCCTTTGTAATTCTTCACAAGAGTCACAGCAATGCTATTTAACTATTTTATCCATTCCAGCATACATGAATTCTGTGAAGCCAAATACCATGTAAAAGTCATTTAATGTTCCATAACTTTATATTACCATTTACTGTACTGTCAGGACACTTACTTATTTAGCAAATACATTTTTCCATCCAAGATTTCCACCTAAAATCCTGGTACAGCTATCAGAGCAACTTCTACAACATAATGTCCCTTTGATTTGCTTGATTTATAGTTCATAGCCTTATATTTCATAATCATATAACCTTTTTTTTTTCTTTCACACACGTTTTTAAAGCAGCAAAATTCCTTTAACCTCAGAATATGTTTTGATTTGCACCCAAGCCACTTCACAGGCACCTTGAAAAAACAAATTAAATGTGGCAAGGCTGGTACTTTTGGTCTCTTCTGTTACTGAGAAAAATGGAAAAATACCACAGTGCCAATATCACGAAAGACACTAGTCCTTCTGTTGATGCCCTTTTTAACTAACAAATTAGTTCCACTGTAGCTTCAATCTGGTTTTGTTGCTGTAAGTATTATTCATGTATTTTTGCCTTTAGGTCCAAATTAGATGGAGTCTCTGAGTACTGAGTGCATATTGACATGTAGCCTAAAGTAAGATGGTGGTTGCAGATAATTATTTTGGGTGGCATACTCTATTGCACATCCTTTTGAGAAGCACCAAAGCCCTGCAGGGGCTTTCTAAATGATGGCTATCCAGTAGAAAACATCCAAGGAGAAAAGCAGGTAATAAAGAGAGCCTTTAGAGATACTCAGCATACACCTTTGTTGTAAATTGAATTGGTGTGGCAGTAGGGCTGTTTTTGTTTCCCTTGCCTCCACTCAAAACAGATCTTCTATATCTTATATCTGTAATGTCTAGCAACACTGACAGATTACCTATGTATTTTCAGATCTAGGATTATCCAGAGGGAATCAGTTTTTCACCTCAATCTGAAATCCAGACAACAGTATTTATTTAAAAGAATTAATGCTATTTTAATGAACTCATTCATGAAAAATGCAGTTTGTCTTGAAAAATGACGTATTTATCCAAATTTTCTTGTGACTAAGCTGTTTTAAACCATGGTACACTGAGGAAGGAAATTCAAAACTGAATTAGTGATTATTCAGTTTTGACTTTGCCTGAGAATTCAGTCAATAGCGCACAAGTACAACAATCATTTGTATTAATGTACCTCACAACGTACTGAAGCGATGCTGTTACTCTTCCCATCTACCTCCAGCTACCATAATGACAGGATATTCCTGTTGAGGATAACAGGAAAGCAATGCTAGCTTGTTTTAAAGTGTATAGTAGAACAACTTGAAAAGCGGTTGGTTTTTTATTTGCTTGTGGAAAGTATGTAAAGTCTTGTGTTTTAATATACATCAAAACATCCTAGACAAGGACAATGGCTTTTAAAGAAACCCTAGAGTTTGTACTGATGCAATGAAAAAATGGGAATGGTTTGGTATTCTAACATGCATCTTAATGAGAATTTAAAAATAGCAAATATTATATAAATATAATCATTTATTATATATTCAAACTATATTTTAAGTCTCATGCTTTTGAAAGATTGAATATTGCGTGTTCACATTACTGGCCCAGAAAGGAAAATACACTTCACAGAAAATTCTTTGGCCTTTGTAACTTTTACAGATGCAC